AGGGTCCCAGAGTTTGTTACTACCAGGTGCACATCGTTCATGTGCAAAAGACTTGGACAGCAGGTGTCATACAGAGGATTGAAGAAGAGCAAGTTAGTCAAGAAATGAGGAGTAGGTTTGCTCTCCCTTCCCACCTCTAGGAGTAGTGAAACCTCATTTAGGAGTTCGAATCAATAAAGGGAGCCCTTACATTTTCTCTGGGTTCTTATCAGTCACTGGTGAAATCTGCCATCAATGCCAAGAGCAATATTAAAAAGAAAATGACCACCATTAACCTTCTTGACCTGACCCTCACTTAAGGGCACTTATTTATTGTGGTCATGAAAGTGACACTCTGATACCATGCTATTCAGCCCAGGAGAAATCGGGATGAGGAATCAAAACTACACATGCTTAGGTCATATGTTGCGGAGATGCAAGTTTGGAAATAATTTGAGAATACACAGAGAATATATATGCTTTTAAACAAATGGTACCATCACAATTAAACATCTATGGGGGGAAGAAACCATAATTCATATCATATATAAAAATCATCGCTCAAAGTATCATAAAGTTAAAAGTGAAAAACTTCCAGAAGGGAATACAGAAAAAAAGTTTTTTGACTTTAGGTAAAGCAAAGCTTTCTTTAATTGCACCCAAACCAAAATCCAATATATAATATAATACCAGAAAATTTTGACAATGTTTTCTGAAAATTTTGAAAATGGTTTTTAAATATTTTCTGTTTGTTTCATATTGGGGTTTATCTCTGTTCTCTTTTCTCTTGGCCTTTTTAAATCTTTGTCATGTGTTTTTCTATGGTTTTTGGTATATGAAACTCAAGATAGATGAACTTGTAGACTCAACAACTAGGAAAGGGTTCATGAGCTGGGGAGAAGGTGGGGGGATGTGGAGGGGTAAGGGAGATCGGATATCACAGAGTTCAAGAAGAAAGAAAATGTTTTGAAACTGAGTGGGGTAGCAATTGCACAGGTGTAGAAAGTGGGAGCCAACTACAAGGATCTACATATACCCTTCTCCCTGGGGAACGGACATCAGAAATCAAAGTTGATATAGGAAATATGAAGTCTGAAGGCATTTTTATCTGCTCAAGGAATTGGACAACAGTTTGAAACGATGGCCTCCATGCTACCACACACACACACACACACACACAGACAAGTACACATGGCTTCCACCAGTGTCTTTTGCCAAAAATTGAATAGTCAAGATAGAAAAAACAATATTAAAGTTTTCTAGATATAAAAAGAAATTATGTGTGAATTGTTTTATAGATCCAGTGTGGTTTTGGTGTACAAATGTAACACTGCCATTTCCAGAAAGGACAGTTACATGGAAACCACAGACGTGTACAATCTCTAACCAACCTATTACTATAAAAGAACTGTCTGCTGCATAGAAGACAGCATAATCAACTTGCTTTATTCTAGCAATGCAAGGTACTTAACACTGGAAGGTTTCCCCGTGTAGTTCACCATCTGTCAATAAAGTGAAAGTGTCTCATGCTTATCTTAATAAATATAGAAAGAGTGTTCCATAACATTTGATACACCTTATGCATTTTAATGCTATAAAATTGGAAAACATGCACCAACTATATCCTACCCAACATCTATAGGAAACTGCATCAAACAGCACCCGATACACACTGTTTCTCAAGTATGTATGGAAAAGTCCCCATGTACTGAGCCCTAATACAAGCCTCTAAAATGTCAAAGATTGACACAAAGCACATCACCAAACCACAATGAAATGTAATTGGATGCCAACAATGGGATTGGATTTGGCAAATTCAGAAGCACGTAGAAATTAGACATCATATTTATAAGTAACCTAGCAGTCATGGAAGAAATCACAAATGGAAAGACAAGTTACATCCATCGCGCCAATCCATAATCTAACCTCCAAATCTGAGAAGCTAGAATGAAGAGTAAAGTAAACCCAAAGGATGTGAAGGAGGAAAATAATAAAATTTACACGGGATGTGAGTGAAGACGCTGGAAAAGGTAATAGAAAAAAAGCAGTGAAACCAGGCGGGTTCTTCTGGCACAGCAGGAAGGTTACCCACTGGAAGTTAGGCTCGCCCAGGCGAGAATAGGGAGAAGACTCCAACAACGAAATCCAGGAACGAATGAGGAACACTGCTCCTACCCATACGGGAGTGAACGGAAACTACTGTAAAGACTAGGAACATCGTAGCCCACAAAGGAACGATCCTCACACTGTCCAAGGCCAAGCAAAATGGTGCAGACACCAGAACACACTCTGAATATCTCTCTCAGCTTAATCATAGAGTTACCCTAGGAATATACCGGTACCCACTCAAGAGAAACAAAAACCTGTATTAACTATTCATAAAGATCTCCAGTGGAAATGGCACGAATGTCCAGGAACTGAGGAATGGATAAACACCATGTGATACAAGCAGACATTCCATACAATGAAATGTCATTCCGTCCCAAAAATAAAGTGCTGCTCATGCTCCTAGATAAATGACTCTGAAACCATGATGCTGGATGGAAAAACTACACACGAAAGACCACATGTTATGATTCCATGTGTGTGACCTTTCCACAACAGACAAATCTATAAGGACAGAACCCAGAAGAGGGGTTGCCAGCACGTGGACACTAGAGGAGTAGAAAGAGGTTGCTAATGAATACAAGGTTTCTTTTGTTATTATTATTTATTCTTCTTTCACCAGTGTTACTGGAACTTCTTCCACATATCATACCATTTAATAGTTCAATCAGATCAAGAAGAGTGGTACAATCAACTCTAGAACTATATCTTCTTTTTTGTACTCATAGCTCTTAATCTAATTACTTTTTCAAATTGTGGCAAAAAATAGAAATTACCAAAAATCCTTCAAGTCAACAACTGCTGCATGTATAATTCAGTGCCACTGATTGTATTCTTCATGTTGTGAAACATGATTGAGATCCTTTTATTCAACCACCATTGACATAAAGTTAATGTCCCCTAAGCAAACACTCATCCTCCTTCACCCATGGTAACCATTGGTCAGCTTTGGTTTCTTTCTTACTTGTAGTATTTTTTTTGTAATGTAAATTTTGCATATCATACATTTCTATAGTTAAGTAGATTTTTTAAAGAATTATGTATACATCATCACACTCGATTCTAGTGCTCCCTCCCCTCTCCCACGTTCATCGTTTGCGTCCCAATTCTCCCCATCCTTCCCAGCCCCAGCTCCAGTACACCATTGTATCAGTTATTGTCTCTACGCTTCCACTGTTTCATAAACTGGGAAATCTAACCGAAACAATGAAAAGCAAGATGACACAGAAAGTAGAAGAAAAAATACAAAGACAAAAATAAAAGTCAAGGGAAAGAAGGGAAAGACCACTGACAGTATTTTAAAACCAGAAAATAAATATAGCCAGGTCCTGTGCCAGAGTCACAAGCATTGCTAAATTTGAGCCCATTGTTGTAGTCACTGGATCAATGATTGCATGTTGAGTCCATCTGCCACCACTGCACTGCATAATCTCCTATTGTGACCGGTCAGGTCCTCACTGGCTAGCATACATTAACACATCACTGGGCCTTTTGTTCTACTCTTCTGGATTAATTGGTTTGTGCTAGCTCCATTCCAGTGCCTTTATTGTTGTCTGTCTATAGCCTCCTGACTTGCTGCTCTGTTTGTATATAAAAGATATTCTGCCAAGCATCCTCTGTCCAATATGTATAGTGGATGAAATGGGATCTCAGTGTGCAGCAGATAGACACAGATGTGGAGTTGATGCCCTGACTCAGACTTTTGTAGATAAACAGATTTGGCCCCAGGCAGGGTCTAAATTCAGAGCCCTGCTGGGTTAGTAGAGAAGCACTGGACTCCTGACAGCAAAGCCAGTGGTTCAAACCCACCCAACAGCCGCTCCACAGCAACAGCAGGAGGCTACATGCTCCCGTAGGTAGTGTTGTATGTTAGGCCGATAGATTAGAGAAAAAAACCCAGTGACACTTGTAAGAGAGAGCTTCATATCAAGAAGTATTTCTATATCAGGCGAACATCCCAGCCCAATCCAACTCAAATCCACAAGTCCAATACCAGGCTACAAGTCCCTGTTTGGACTCATGCAGCTACATGCAGTGATGCACAATGCAGGGAGATCACAGGCCGGTGGGAGAAAAGTCTGGTGGATCTGATGGTGGTGGATACATCATAGGGCTCTGGCAGGTCTCAGTGTGGCTCCTTAACAGCAGAGAGAGAAAGGAAGGAAGAAAAGGAGAGATAGGGAGAAGAGAGAGAGAGAGACCAGCCTCCAGAGAGCCATTGATCGCGGTGGCACCTCCAAATGAGGTCATCAAGCTGGGATCTAATTGACAGGCTAAACTCCACCCCTATCTTCTTACAGGAGCCATGTGGGCAAAACACCCTGACAATCACAAGTTGTGAAGCAAGAAGGAGCAGTGATACTCTGCTCTACAGCGTCACCATGAGTCAGCATTCACTGGATGGCTAACAGGATGTTGTTGTTGTTGTTGTTATTGTTCTTCCAAGGTTTACACTCATCACAGAATGTTTCAACATTCTGCCCACCCCTACCACCCCTTAAGGAAAATTCCCACCTAGAATGATACCACAAGAGACCAAGAAAGGACGGCACAGTGGTACTGACCTGCCCCAGGAGAGATGGAACTATCACATGACCAGACAATATCACGTGATCAGAAATGATGCTGCTGCTAATTGCTTGCTTTCTCATTTTGGGGAAATGGTGTACAAGAGTCTTCCTCAATAAGAAAGATATTAAAACCCTAATTTCACAAACTTCAAAACTCTTAGAGATCAACTTCCTCCTGGGCTGTTTCCTCAGGGACCAGGAAACAACAAAAACAGTATCAAGGAAAGGTTTGCTCATTGGTCCCAACGTTGAGGGTCCCGTGTATAAAAGCCCCCAGAATGAAGGAGTGCTCAAAATCCGAGAAACTCACCTCTGAACAGAAGCCCATCCTCCACACCTGACACCATGTGCTGCTCCCCTTGCTGCCGGCCCACCTGCTGCACCACCTGCTGCCAGCCCTGCTGCCGCCCATCCTGCTGTGGCTCCAGCTGCTGCCAGCCCTGCTGCCGCCCATCCTGCTGTGTGTCCAGCTGCTGCCAGCCTTGCTGCCACCCTAGCTGTTGCACCACCTGCTGCCAGCCTTGCTGCCGCCCATCCTGCTGTGTGTCCAGCTGCTGCCAGCCCTGCTGCCGCCCATCCTGCTGTGGGTCCAGCTCTTGTGGGTCCAGCTGCTGCCAACCTTGCTGCTGCCAGCCCTGCTGCCGCCCTATCAGCTGCTGCTGCCAGCCAGCTTGCTCTGGCCCTGTGCACTGCCACAGAACCTGCTACCAGCCAACATGTGTCCGCCTGACTGGTTACCTACCCCAGACCTTCGGCTGCACCTGCTGCTAGACCTGCTGCCATCCAGGCTGCTGTCAGACGCCTGCTTTAGGGTGACCCGTATCCCTCCTGGCTGTGACTCCAGCTGCTGCCGACCTCCCTACTGTTCATCCTCTTACTGCAGATCCACTGCCTGTCACATGCCAACTTCCCGTCCGCCAGCCCTGCCCAAAGGTCTCCTGTAAACCTCGAGAGTCAGCTTTATGCAGCGCAGCCTACCTTGCTCTAACCTTCTCTTTCTCCGTGGGCCTGCGTCCCGACTCCTGGTCTGCCATCTCTCTTCCTGGCCCGGTGTCGCTCTCAGGTGTGTGGAAAAAGGATCTTCACAGCAACTTAAAAACAGACACATCATGGCTTTTTATTACCTCTCTGCATAAAAAATAATAAACACTTTGTCAATGGATGCACTACTCTTGTGTCTTGCTTTACTCTCTGATGTTCACTTTGAGGTGGCTTCTTAATCACAGGAAGCTCTCCCTGTTTATTTCCTAATAAAATCTATGCTACAGCTTTTCCACGGCATTTCTTTCCCAAGAACTTGCATTCATACCACACTTCATGCTTCCCGCCCCCACCCCCACCCCCACCCCCCTACCCTTTCTCACAAACGCCCCATTTGATGGTCAAGTCCAAGAGCATGCCAGGCAATCTGTCCTTGAGAGTGTGACTTGCTTAAGTTCAGGAGTTCTAGTCCCCTGAACGTCTCATGCTAGCTCAGAATACCTCCATCCCTTCTTAGTGAATATGACAATAACGCTCGCACACTCTGATCGGATGCATTGAGAACCTTACTATTTCCTCTCCAAGACACTTCTTTGTAGGAGAGGGATTTGAGAAGGAAATGAAAAGGAATGGTGAACTACCAGAGTTCATAATATATCCTAATACAGATGAGGGTGATATTATTGGGAAACTTCACATCCACGTTTCTTAAAACGTGCATAGACCTGACATTTTCCTGCAAAAAAATGAAACGTGGCATAGGGAATGTAAAATCTGAACTGAATTTTGATCCACCCAAGAAATTGGACAGTTTCTGAACACTGACCTCTTTCCTGAAGCACGCACACACACACACACACACACACACACTGTTCAAGTACTTATGGTTTCCACCAGTGTTTGGGGGCCAAAATCAGAGAGTCAAGATGGAAAATAAGAACTTATTAAAATTCTTCTGGAAATTATAAAAAGGAAAGAATGTACAATTGTTTGATATATCGAGTATAGTTTTGATAACCATACCTAATTCTGCCCTGTCATAAAAGGAAAGTTACAGGCAAGCATAAGCCTACAACCCACCAAGGTGCGCCCTCTCTAACCAATGTACAAGCAAGGAAGAAGAGGCTGTGGCACACACTGACCAAACAGCATAAGCAAGTTGGTGTCTCCCAGCGATGCACGGTAGATAAAACATTTGAAAATTGCTCGATGTAGTTCATCACTTGAAAAAAAAACCCATCATTGTCTTAATAGATACAGAAAGGGCATTTTGTGCCATTTAATATACTTTACATATTTTTCAATGTTATAAAATTGCAAAACATAAACAAAGTATACCTACGCACCACCTTCAGACACTGCATCCAACAGCAGCAGATATGCCTTGTTCCCGAGCATATGTGAGACTTGTCCATGGTGTGCCGCATGCTTAGCCATAACCCAAGCCTCTGTACCTGTAAAAGGTTTGATACGCAGTACGTTCCCACCGACCATGGAATTAAATTGGAAACCAACAACTGCATGCAATTTGGCAAAGCCATGAGCACGTGGAAGTGAAGGACGATACTTACAATACCCCATGGCTCACAGAAGAAATCATAAGGAGAAATAAACACAAGGTACATTGGCCGCTCCACTAAATAATCTGACTCTCCAATTTAAGAATCTAGAAATGAAGAGTACAGTTCGTCAACAGCATGCTGGAGGAAGAAGACAATAAATATTCCACTAGAAGTAAGGAAAAGACACTGGAAAAGTAATAGAGGAGACCGATGAAACCATGGCGGGGCTTCCAACCGAGCAACAAAATGACTCACTTCAAGCTAGAGTAACCTGAGGGCGGGGGAGCTGGGGGGGGGCGTGGAAAGGGAGATGACTCACACTATTAAGATCATAGAGGAATGAAGGGCATTGTGACTGGCTTTATGGGAATGAGAAAGACTATACAGGAGTATAAGGCACATAGTCTGCCCACACATGAGATGTTCTCACACTGCTAAAAGGAAAGCAAGATGGGGCAACGCTTTGTCAAACTCTTTGAAAGTGCCTCTCATCTTGGACACAGGGTTACTCTATAAACCCATCGGTAGCTCCTCAAGAGAAACAGAACCCTGTGTTTGCACAAATCCTTGTGCATGAAGATGTAGATCAGCACGATTCATAAAGAGCACAAAGTAGAAATGACACCGTGTCCATGAGCTGATGAATGGATTAACACCACGCGGTGCACACATGCACTCCATACAAGGAAATGTCATTCTGTTATACAAAGGAATGGCGTACGATACCGCCTCCAGATGAATGACCCTAAAAAACAAAACAAAACATGACGCCATACAAATAGTTTAAGTGAACACAGGAGGGAAGTGGGATAAAGAAGGGTACATGGGGGCGGGGGGTGGCAATGAATGAGTTGAGACCAAATCTGGGTGAATTGTTTAATGTGAACCTGCTGATCTGCGGCTCATCTCCCAGCTTTGTATTGAGATGATGTTCTATTATGATCCACAGGGTTTCGTGGGCTAATTTATGAAAGCATCATCACGCCTTTATCCTAAAATGCAACATTACCGGAATGATGCTTTCTAAATCTGATGCTTCCACCCTCCTTCCAGCAAATCTGGTGCTGATTTGCATATGAAAAAGATGGTGCCAGCATCCTCTGCCTACAGACCTTTGAGCAAACTGAACTAAGTACGTAGAGTAAATGGCACTGGTACTGTTGTAGCATTGACTCAGACTTTTCTGATTAGAGAGATTTTGACCCAGGCAGAGTTGACATTTCGTGGTCCTCCCCAGAGACGTTTCTCAATCTAAGTAACAACAACAACAAAGACAAAGCCTGAAAGGGACACCTCTTCTGACCTTGACCTGGATAGCAGGAACTACCAAGTGAGCAGATGATCATGTGATCAGAAACGCTGCTGCTGCTGCTGCTGCTGCTGCTGCTGCTGCTGCTGCTGCTGCTGCTGCT